TATTATGGAATAAGATGAGTACATCTATATATACAAGAAAAAGGAATAATAAATTCTAATAATAAATCAGGAGATGAATACAAATCAAATAAACAAAATCATATCAACAAAATATTAACAAGATATCTTAACAATGACTAATTCCTTCTTGAATGTTGCTACTTTTGTCTTTTTCCCGGATTTTAAAAGTTTGGGCAATAGTGTTTGAAACATTTCGTCAAGACGCCGTCGAACCCAGCTGTCATTTTTACTTTATGACTTCAATTAAACATGTGGGAGGATGGTTTTTCATTTTAAAGATTATTATCAATACCAATAAAAAATTATATATGTGAAATTTTAAAAGTTGCTACTTTTGTCTTTTTCCCGGATTTTAAAAGTTTGGGCAATAGTGTTTGAAACATTTCGTCAAGACGTCGTCGAACCCAGCTGTCATTTTTACTTTATGACTTCAATTAAACATGTGGGAGGATGGTTTTTCATTTTAAAGATTATTATCAATACCAATAAAAAATTATGTATGTGAAATTTTCAAAAATATATTATATAAATAAAAATACAAATAAAAAATAGAGTATGTAATATAAATATTAATGTACATAATATTTTTAACAAAAAAAGAATATTAAATATTAATAAATATTTACATAAAATAAGAGAAATAAATAGAAATATTTCATAACATATTAAATTTTATATGTGTGTTTATATAATATAAAATTAATATATTTGTGTTCGCGCTTGTTATGTAAAATAACATATAAATATATATAATATAATTTTGCACTTTACGTTTACATGTAACATCTTAACTTACTACCAAAGGCTCCCATCGTGTACACGCGAGCTCAAGGGTCCAAACCACAGCTTTGTCACAAATGAAACCAATTTGAAAGAAGAAAAACAAATTACTGACAGGAAAGAAGTAAAGTCTTACCAAAGAAATAGCAAGGAGACAGCAGAATGAGATTGTAACTTCACCAAAATTAAATAATAAAGAACAGGAAATGAGTAGGAGGACCAAATGGAAAATATATATATATATATATATATATGTTCCTTGTAGTTTCTCATGCACAGCTCAGTGTAATTGCAAAAATAACACTTTTATGATATTTAAACATTTAATTTATTTTAATCACAATAGATTGATCTTTTTAAAATAGGTTAAAAACAAACCTATATTTTACATGCATTTTCATATTTTTTAGTGGGTTTTTGTTATTATTATTAGTACTTAATTGCATTATTTGATTATAATTCGAATTAAAGTGCTTCACTTTGAATTAGTGCATAATAGGGGCAAATTTGTCATAATTGTGATTGGTTGATCTTTAAGTACAATTAATGTTACCTTATTCTTGAATTTTGGTTGTAGGTTTTTGAGAGATTTAAAAATAAAAATGAAAATAAAAAAAGAGAGAAAAAATATAATAAAAAATAAATTAAAAAAAGGGGGGGAGCAAACCTAAAACTGATCATCATCATCTTCATTCGGGAGTGAGAAGACCAGAGACAGGAGGCGAGAGGAGAGAATGAACAGAAAGAGCAGACCGAGAGTGAGGGACCGGAGGTGTTCGACGGCGTGAGCGCGACGGAAATCACTGTGTTCTTCACCCCCGATCAGTCCAAATCATCACTTTCCATCTCCACTCCAACCCACCATCACCACCGTCTTCATCTTCTTCTTCTCCTCGGTCTGGAACTAGAGAACCAGAGACAGAGCAGCAAGATAGAACGAAGGTCCAGAGGAGCTCGACGGAGATCACTGTTGACTTCATGTCAAAAAATAATTTCATTTTTGTCCTTTAATACTGAATTCAAATTTTATAATTTTTTGGCACCTATGGGAAATTAAGTAGTATTTGTGGGGGATTTAAATGAAATTTTTCCTATGAAATATATATATGAGTTATTCCCTCCAAACTAATTATCATTTATTTATACACATACATAGCCCGGGGAGTACCTGTCCACAATATAAAATTTATGGAAAAAAATCAAATATATTATTTGTAAGGTAGAAAAATGCAGCTTCATATATTGTTTGGGTATTAAATAGAAGGGACATTATTTATAAATAATTTGATTTATAACTTCATGAATTTAAATTTGTAGAGTACATTATATTGGTTTCAAGAAGAATTTTGCGTAACAATCTTATACGGTACTATATTTTATCTCTTGGAATTTTCTAGTAACCTTCAATAATGACATGCTAAAATGACAACATTATCACTTCAATTTCCCATAAATCCACAACCTATAAAGTAAACCTTATCATAATCTCCTCTACTGTCTGGCAATATATCTATGTATCATCTACCATGTTTTTTAGTCAGTTTAAACCACATGCAAAATATTAACATAATCACCTTTATTTATTTATTTATTCACTTCCAATCAATAAATGACGCTTTTATCTTAACTCCCCCCTTTTCAAACGTGCACATCCCCCGAAAAGAACTCTTGAGTATTATATTGTATCCCGATGGATTATAATGCTATTTCAATGTCAACTACCCATCAACATTTGTGTTCAATATATATAATTGAGCAGCACGTGATTCTCTCAACAATGACATGCTAAAATGATATTATTATTATTACTACTACTACTATTACTACTACTTCTTCTTTTAATTCCCAATAAATCTATAACCTATGAAGTAAACTTTATTATCTCGTCTCCTGCCTGGCAAAATAATAACACTATCTCATCCATTTATTTAATTTCTCTTCATTTATCCACTTCCAATCAATAAACGATTTTTATCTTAGCTTTCCCTCCCTGAAACATGCGTGTCCCCTGAAAAAGACTCTCCGAGTATTATATTAGGTTAATGTGCATCCAGTACTGTAAAGGATTTTTTCAAACATATTCAGTATTTCAAAGTATTTGTAGTACATCTAGCATCCTGAAATAATTTTTCAAGTGTATCTAGTACCTTGAAGTATTTTTTGGTGCATCTAATATCTTAAATAATATCTTTTAGGTGCATACAATGCCTAAAATATTTTCCAGTGCAACAAGAAGGGAAAAAAAAAAATACTTCAGGGTGTTATATATATATATATTACAAAATATTTTATAGTATTGAATACACCTGAGAAAATATTTTAGAGTGCTAGATATAGTTTAATCCTACTACCTCTTATCCTTAATATAAGACCTCGTTTGACTTTTTAAAAATTTAAATTTAACACTATGTTAGGATTTTTGAATGTTTTGTCAACATTATTAATTACTGGGTGAGTAATTTTTCTTTGTTAATAAAATTAATAGTAGGTAGAATTAAAGAACTAAAAAGACATTTTATAAAAGTTAGATGCCAAAATAAAATTTTAGAGTTGTTAATATCCTCATGTGTTACTTCCCATTTTTTATATTTCCAAAATTTTATTAGTGAATATACACATAAGAACAACTATAATTAACTAATGAACAAGTACAAATAAGAAGGGAATTGACAGCTCATACTTTTTAGATTCTCAAAATTTCACCAGTGAATATATATATATATATATATTTATATTCTCAAAAGGCTTGTGACCACCAATTCATTAAATTCACGTGATAAACTAAGTTTCCTAATTTACATCCTACTTTCCTATGTGATGTTTTTTTCTTATATGTGCTTGTTAATATCAACATTTAAAATATGTTAGAGAAACCTAATATAAAATTAGATAACTAAAAGTGCGCTTTTCCCTAAATAATATGCGAAAGTCTTTTTAACCAATTTAACTCTTATAGAATTTGCAAACTTTACAACTTTTCGAAAGATATAAATAACGTGAAACTTTTGGGCTCAACTTTAACTAGCCACGTTGAAAATTATTCTTGCCTGCCTAGGATATGGGAGTGTGGAACTTTGATTGTGTTGGACCATTGCAAAGTTTTTTTTTTAACCCAAAAAAAAAAGTAAAGCGGGGATGAATTACTCCTCCGGTCCTTAATATAGGACCTAATTGTTTAGTTAATTTTGGTCCTAAATAAAAGATCAATTTTTTTCTAAATTACCCTTATGGATACTTCCTCAATCATAATCAAGTAAATAAGGGAGGAAGGATATTAAGAAAGATGATTATGGTGTTTTAGGAAAAACATGTCATATTTCTTATAATTAACTAACTTACCTAACTTCCTTAATCTAATCAAATTATTTAAATAGGTCTTATATTAAGGTCCGGAGGAGTATCTTTTAAAAATGTTGTAATTCTAATTTGTTTATGATAGGCATATTATCATTATATACCTGCTAACTGTTGATGGCATCCCTTAAATTCCTTGAAATTTCAGCTGGGTTACATATGACCTGCGTTTGACTTGGAATATACATACGATATAGCCCATTGAATTCAAAATCTAAATCAATTATCACATAATCATTAATTATCTCAACATTTTCATCCCACTAATTAAGTAATTGAAGACGTGATATACAGAGTAATATTGATTTGTATATATTCATAGTGCACTGTACATCATATATATATAGACAGAAAAGAGATAAACCGAGATAGAAGGAGATTACAGAGGATCACGCAATTAATCTAGGAGTAATTTAAATTTAAATCTGATCTCCTAATCTGCCTAGGATCATGGGAGTCGATATTCACTAAATATTAAATATTAAATATTATAATATTAACTACACTCCCCCTCAAGTTGGATCATAGATGCTAATCATGTCCAACTTGCTTATAAAGTTCTCGAACAATTCTTCAGGAAGTCCCTTTGTGAGAATGTCTGCAAGTTGTTGCTTTGATATCACATAGGACAAACATACAATTCCATCTTCCACTTTTTCTCTGATGAAGTGTCGGTCAACCTCGACATGCTTAGTTTTGCTATGTTGTACTGGATTTAGAGCCATGTTTATGGCTGCTTTGTTGTCACAGAATAGTTTCATTGGCTTGTTGATGTGAACTTGAGCCTCCTCTGCTACTCTTTCCAGCCAGAGACCCTCCATGATACCTTGAGCTAGTGCCCTTAATTATGATTCTGTACTACTTTTAGACACAACATTCTGTTTTTTACTCTGCCATGTTACTAGATTGCCCCACACAAAGGTACAATAGCCAGATGTGGATCTACTGTCCTCGGGAGCACTTGCCCAATCTGCATCTGTGTAAATTTCCACTGTTCTGGATTCACATTTCTTAAAGAAGAGTCCTCTACCTGGTGTTCCTTTCAAGTATTTTAAAATTCTATAGGCTGCATCCATGTGTTTCTTTCTGGGTGAGTGCATATGTTGACTTGCTACACTTACTGCAAAGGCAATATCAGGTCTGGTATGAGACAAGTAGATTAACTTCCCTACTAGTCTTTGGTACCTCCCAATATCTACAGGTTCCTCATCCTTTCGTTGCTTCTTTTCTTTCTTAGCCTCTTCTTTGGTAGTTGCTTTCTTATTACACCGGTTGATGCTTCCCTTCTTGACACTCATTGGTGTTCTTATTGGCCTGCATCCCTGTTTCCCATAGTAGATCGAGAATATACTTTCGTTGTGAGACATAAATTCCCTTCTTTGAACATGCAACTTCCATTCCAAGGAAATACCTCAGTTTTCCTAGATCTTTGACCTCAAATTCTCAGTCTAAAGCTGTCTTTATTCTGTTTATCTCGGTTACATCATCACCTGTGAGAATAATGTCATCTACGTAGACAATAAGAATTGCCTTCAGTGCTCCATTCTTCTTGACAAACATTGTATGATCTGACAAACTTTGTCTATAGCCCTCAACCTTCAGTACTTTAGAGAATCTGTCAAACCAAGCCCTAGGAGACTGTTTTAAGCCATACAAAGATATTTTTAGCTTGCAGACTTGATTTTGCTTTCCCTTGTCAAATCCTGGAGGAAGTGTCATATAGACTTCTTCTTTCAATTCTCCATTAAGGAATGCATTCTTGATATCTAGTTGCTATAATGGCCAATCCAAGTTGGCTACAATAGATAACAGAACTCGGATTGTATTTAATTTTGCCACTGGAGCAAAAGTCTCAGTGTAGTCTAGCCCATAGGTCTGAGTGAAGCCCCTGGCTACTAGTCGTGCCTTAAACTTATTTAGTGTTCCATCTGCATTGTATTTCAGGGTAAAGACCCACTTACAACCCACTGCTTTCTTCCCTTTTGGTAGATTAACCACTTCCCATTTCATTCTTTTCTAATGCCGTTATCTCTTCTAGTACTTCCTTCTTCCACTCAGGATGCTCAAGTGCCTCATGTACATTGTTAGGTATTCTGATTTCATCAAGATTAGTGGTAAAAGCACGATAATCATGAGATAGAGTGGTATAAGATACATACTGTTGGATAGGATGCTTAGTACACGAACAAGCCTTCTTCCTCAGAGCAATAGGTAGGTCCTCCTCAGTAGTTCCAGGATCTTTCATTTGGTCAGATTCTGGCAGAGCCTTGGGCATGTGAGACTCTATAGTTTCTTTATCTCTCCGTGTGTACACCTTGCTATATTTTTCATTGGTCTTATCTCCCCCTGCCTTTGGCACTTGTGCAACATTTGGAGGGATAGGAATAGGTGTCACAGACTCTGTAGGTTGCATTGGGGGTATGGGCTCAGGTATGCTTTCTACACGCTGAAATTCATTCCAACTCTCCCCCTGAATTGAAGAAACACTTGAAGTTGAACTTCCCTTAATTGTCGCTTTGGGGTTACTCCAAAAATTAACCGAATTAATGCAATATAGTGCACAATCCGGGTCGTATTCACTTTGAGGAGCCGAAAACGAAATTAAATCCTAGTAAATAAATGCAAGTAACCTAAACTATAAAAAGGATTTTTGATTTGAGTTTGAAAAATTGCTAACTAAATGCCTTGAATTAAATTGAAATTAAAATAATTTTTTTTGTTATTTTCTTTTATATAAAAGATGATTGAAATAACTGAAGATGAAAGAAATGAAAATGAAACACACAAATAACACTGATGATAATCAATCCTCTAATTCAACAATGTAGGCAATCATCACTCTAAAAGATTTGGGAGTTAAAAATAATGAATTAAGAATTATAATTAAGCTTTTAATCCAACAACCGAGCCACCTCGAGTTGCCACTAAATATTTTCCTAAAATCCCAACTTACTAACTGCAACCAGAATAGTAAAATGAGATTAAGGATGTCAAAAACCAATGCTTAATTAGAACTCTTAAATCCAAAATAACAGAATTAAAGCTAGCAAGAGACAATATGATCCAAAATTCTAAGCCACCTTAGAAAATCACAATATATTAACTCCAAAATCAATATAAATGTCATAACCACAACATCATAATTGAAATCAAAGCTATAAACAACCCAATGTCAAATGCCAAACAGTAATCCAGCCACAAAAATCCCCACAGATAATCAGATTTAACAATATAAAATTTTCTAATAATCAGAATAACTATCCTAAGACCTAGGAATTGTTAAACAATTATTAGACAGGAAATTAAAGCAACTAAAACTCCTCCTTGATAATATAAGCTCCTGTCATTGTTGTTGAATTAGAGGATTATTAAGCTCTAGCCATGGATTGCCATAAGGAATGCCACAATCAGTATTTTGCTACAGGATCCCATGGAAGAACACTGTTCACGCTGAATCCCTTCCTCCCCCTCTACTGTCACTGTTCGTGCCCAGGAGAAGAAGAAGATATGAAGATGATGATGATGAAGAGTGTGTCGCTCGCCGCCCAAGCTCGCTCAGCGTCGCCTCCTCGCGTTTGCGTCTTTCTCCGCTTCCCTTCGTGTTCGGCGTCGTGTGTGTGTGTTCGGCCGCGCCTGCGTCTTCTCCCCGGGATGAAGGTGATTCAATTATTAGATATTAGGTTGGGGGGGCAAAACGTTGCGTTTTGCTCCCCCTTTTATTATTATATTTTTTAATTGATTTTTCTTTTATTTTTTATTTTTTAAATTTTCATTTTCATTTCTTCCAAAAACCTCCAAGCAAAATTCAAGGATAAGATAGCATTAATTGTCCTAAAAAATCAATTAGTCACAATTAAACCAAAATATGACAATTTTGCCCCTATAAAATAATAATTCAAAATAAAATAAAATAAATCAATTAAGGCAAAAAGGGACCACTTAAGCTGACAAAACTCATATAAGAGATACCAAAATATATAAAAATAATTGAGTTTGTCAACTCCCCCACACTTAGCCTTTTGCACTCCTGGGCAAAACATCATTAAAGAAGAATCCAATAGAGACACTCAATGCAAGCAAACATAAAACTAACTAAGCATGAATGTGCAATTAACTCAAGCAACCTTTATTCTTAATTAATCAACAATCATAGAATACTTCAGTGCAAAGAAATTAACACAAGAAACATAGCAGGATAAAAGAAGAGAAACATAATAGAGCTCACATATGGTACAAGTGTTTCACTCATCTCTCAAATGGGAAAAATTTCACTCAATCCACCTAGATTAGCACCTACCATAAGCTTGTAGAAATTCTAATATCTCCACCACTAACATACCTTAGACTCATGATCAAGGGGACTTGAAGGGTTGTAATGTTGGAAAGCAAGGCCAAATGAATAAATGAACTAGCAAGTGAAATGCATGAGTAATAAAGTATCAACTCAAAGTGAGCTAAAGTACAATCATGAAACAACACCAAAGTGCAGATTTTAACCTTTTGAGACAGAAATCTTTGCTCTTCAAACCACCATGGAATGCCTTATTTCAAATTTATTCTTTTGTTGCAACTTATTTTCTTTTTCTTTTTTTTTTATAACTTTCTTTCTTTGGCTTTTTCTAAACATTTTCTTCTCTTTCTTGCCTTTTTCTATTTCCTTTTTTTTTTTTTTTTTTTTTTTTTGGCATCCAAACCCAAGAAGGCAAAGATATAGACATTAATGATGTACTTTTCAAAATGAAAAACCAAATGTAACTCATGCAAAACACTTGCTAAAAAAAATAATAATAATGGAATGAAAGTGAAGGCTCAAAGGGGTGAACAAAGGTTAAATGAAGTGGTTTGTGTTTGGGTAAAGGTTTAGAAATGAATGCCCCTATCATCTTCACAAACCTAGGTATTAATGTAGCTTTGAAAAAGAATCTAAACAAGTTCTAGAGGTTAACCAAAACTAGATGAAAATCACACAAGATGAGAAAATATATGGCTCAACAATCCTTCCATCAAGGCTTTCTCCAAGATGTTTCCTCCTTAAGGATCAAGCTATGAAACAAGGTTAATAACACTGCACTAAAGGCATTCTACTATGCTAATCAACTAAGACAAAAATCACTCAAATCAAATGCAATCAAACTCAGCCGTGCAACATTCACAAGCATTGTGCAAAAGGATTTTAAAAGAGATGCCCAAGGATTACAAAAGTCAAGTCAGCAACAGAGAGAACAGCAACTCGCCCATACAGCAGTGCAGAACACTGAGGCGAATGAAAGCAAGGACATAGAAACCACAGCAAAATTCCCAAGCAAGAATCACTCTCAAATCATGCGATGCAATTCAGAAATCAACCAATAAGGCAGAGAAGAGAGCAATTATAGCAGCAATACTTAGGAAACAGGAGCAAATCCAAAGGCAAAATTTTTTTTTTCCAAAACAGCTCAACAACTCAACAACAATCCCTCCCCCACACTTGATCAATACATTGTCCTCAATGTAAGAAAAACAACATTATCTTAACCTAAACTCTCGGTAAGTGAAGTTGTGAAGTCCGATTTGAAATCGAAGCACAACACGTCACTATCACGAAGAAGAGAGAAGGAGAGGTAGGATAAGATAATGTGAAATGAAAATAGACAAGTATAAATCAAGTGATCAGAAGAGATGGCAGAATCAAGAGGAAACAAAACACAACTACTAAACAGAAATAAACAGCTACAACTACAACTACTGGAAAAGTTCCCTCCCCCACACTTACTCCTAACTATCTCAGCAAACAGATATCACCAGCAATACAACAGAAAGTAAAAGAGTAGGGTGGAAGGGAACAACCGGGTGATCAGGAGGTCTTTGATCCTCGTGGTAGTGCTTCAGCAGATGGCCGTTGACTTGTGAAGTTATACCGGTCTCCTCATCTACGAGCTCTACCGTGCCAAAGGGATATACTTTAGTAACTCTAAACGGACCTTCCCACTTGGTGACAAACTTCCCGGGCATCAGCTTCAACCGGGCTTTAAACTTTAGAACCTTGTCACCTTCATAAAACTGCTTCCTCAGAATCTGTCTGTCATGAATCATTTTCAGCTTGTCTTTGTAGATTCTGGCATTGTCATAGGATTCAAGTCTCATTTCTTCAAGTTCTTGGAGTTGCATCTTCCGATTGACTAGTGAAGATTCGAGATCTGCATCACATGCCTTGATTGCCCAATAAGATTTGTGCTCGATCTCCATAGGTAGATGGCAAGCCTTGCCATAGAGCAACCGGAAGGGGGACATGCCTATAGGGGTCTTGTAGGCAGTCCTGTAAGCCCAAAGAGCTTCCTCAAGCCTTTCACTCCAGTCCTTACGGGATGGTTTCACATCTTCTCAAGTATTCGTTTCACTTCCCGGTTAGAGACTTCAGCTAACCCATTCGTCTGAGGGTGATAAGGAGTGGCCAGCTTGTGATTGACTCCATGTTTAGCCAATAGAGACTTGATGGTCCTGTTGCAGAAGTGTGTTCCTTGGTCACTGATGATTGCTCTTGGAATGCCATACCTGCAAAAGATATGAGAACGTAAAAACTTGGCAACAGTAGAAGCATCATCTTTCCTAGTTGGCACTGCCTCTACCCATCGAGACACATAATCTACTGCAAGTAATATGTATGAAAACCCAAAAGACGAAGGGAAGGGACCCATAAAATCCATGCCCCACACATCAAAGATTTCACAAAAATGCATAGGTCTTAGAGGCATCTCATGCTTCCTACCCAAACTCCCAAACCTCTGACACTTATCACAAGACTTGCAGAAAGAATAAGCATCCTTAAATAGAGAAGGCCAATAAAAACCACACTCTAAAACCCTCCTAGCAGTCCTATTAGCACTAAAATGCCCCCCACAAGATAAAGAATGTGCAAAGGTAAGGATAGAGTGGATCTCATTATTTGGAACACAGCGTCTGATGATCTGGTCACTGCATTGCTTCCACAGGATTGGAGCATCCCAGATATAGTATCTTGCCTCCCTCTTCAGCTTATCAATCTGAAATTTAGACATAGAAGGAGGTATAAGGTCAGTGACAAGATAATTAACTATATTAGAGTACCAAGGCTCATGAACAGCCAAGGCAAAAAGTGCAGAATCAGGAAATGAGTCAATAACAAGATCAGAAGAGTCAACTCCCTGTGTGCCTTCAGGTAACCGACTAAGGTGGTCAGCTACATGATTCTCCGCTCCGGCTCTATCTCTAATCTCGATATCAAACTCCTGTAGCAGCAAAGCCCATCTCAGCAGTCTAGGTTTAGACTGAGGCTTCTTAAATAGGTATCGAACCGCTGCATGATCTGTAAAGACAACCACTCGAGAGTTTATAAGATACTGTCTAAACTTATCCAAAGCAAAAATAATAGCAAACAGTTCCTTCTCCGTAGTGGTATAATTCACTTGAGCGGAATCAAGCGTCTTGGAGGCATATGCGATGACTCTAGACTGTTTCTCCTCCTTCTGTCCAAGCATGGCACCTACTGCAAAGTTAGAAGCATCACAAGACAACTCAAAATGTAAATTCCAGTTAGGTGCAGTGAGAATAGGAGGTGAAACAAGCATAGATTTCAAAGTGTCAAAAGCATGTCTACACTTATCATCAAATTTAAATTCAGTATCCTTTTTCAATAAGGTAGAAAGAGGCAGAGCAACTTTACTAAAATCCTTAATAAAGCGCCGATAGAAACCTGCATGCCCTAAGAAAGACCTCAAATCCTTTAAACAAGTAGGATAAGGAAGGGATGAAATAACTTCAATTTTGGCCCTATCAACCTCAATCCCCTTTTGAGAGATGAGGTGACCTAAGACTATCCCTTTATCAACCATGAAATGACACTTTTCAAAGTTTAAAACCAATTTCTTATCAATACACCTCTCAAGAGCCTGCTCTAGGCTATTCAAGCACTCATCAAAACTCTCACCATAAACAGTGAAGTCATCCATAAAAACTTCCATGTTTTGCTCTAGAAGATCACTAAATATCGCCATCATGCACCTTTGAAAGGTGCCTGGAGCGTTACACAACCCAAATGGCATCCTTCGATAAGCAAAGGTACCAAAAGGGCATGTGAAGGTAGTCTTGTCCTGATCTTCAGGAGCGATAGGCACTTGAAAATAGCCAGAAAAACCGTCAAGAAAACAATAGTGAGACTTTCCTGAAATTCTTTCCAACATCTGATCTATAAAAGGTAATGGAAAGTGGTCCTTTCTCGTAGCATCATTCAACTTCCTATAGTCTATACACACTCTCCAAGCATTTTGAACCCTAGTTGGAATCAGTTCATCATTTTCATTTCTCACTACTGTGATACCGCTCTTCTTTGGTACTACTTGTACCGGACTTACCCACTCACTGTCTGATATGGGATAGATGATCCCAGCACTCAACAACTTTGAGACTTCCTTCTTAACCACATCCAGAATGAGAGGATTCAGTCTCCTCTGTGGTTGCCTAACTGGCTTGGACCCTTCATTCAAAAGGATCCTGTGTGTGCAAACTGATGGATTAATTCCTGGAATATCCCCTAAAGACCATCCTATAGCCCCTTTATGACTCTTCAACACAGAAATCAATCTTTCTTCTTCAGAACTACTCAAAGAACTGGAAATAATAACAGGCAATTTAGAATCAGCAGCAAGAAAGACATATTTCAAATTAGAGGGGAGGGGTTTCAGTTCTAAATCAGGAGGTTGCACAACAGAAGGAACTAATTCTTTTATGTCAAGTGCATTCAATGCAAGCGGCATGTCCATATGGCTTGGGGAAGGAGATATAAGCTCATCATGATGTGTATGTCCTCCACTTCCCAACTCAGTGCCATTCTTGGATGACCTACAAAAAGAAGGATCGGTATCAATTTTATCAACAGAAACATTAAGTAAATCACAAGGAAGAGTGGGATTAGAAGTGACTAAGTGAGTAGCAATCTTGTTGCTAGCCTCTTCTAATGTTCCAGCACCACTCAAAGGAGAAGCTACCGGTGTAGCTTGTGTAACAGCTCCTTTATCATCAGTACCTGCAGAATCAACAAACTCGCCTTTCTCAAGGCTATCATCAAGTGTAATGTTCAAGGCAGAATCACAGTTAAGACAAGATGATGCATCAAAATCATGAGAGATGGAAAGGAGGTGATCAACTTCTAAACAGTTAACACACACCACGTCACCATAACATGAGCAAAAAGAAGAAGAATGAGGGGTAGATAAACAAGTAAATGCATCATCATGCTCAACAATCTCACCATACCAGTCATGTTCATGCATCTCAGATTCATGCAAATCATCAACATCATTAACAGCACAATCAATCAAATTAACACCCAAGTAAGAGCAATCTGCATAACCTTGACTCATAGCATCAGAAATGTTGAAGGTAATCTGTTGGTCCCCAAAGCCCATGGTAATGACCCCGTCTTTCACATTAATTATGGTTTGGGCTGTTCTAAGAAAAGGTCTTCCTAGAATCAAAGTGCTATCGGCTTTAATCTCATCAGTCATATCTAGCACATAAAAGTCAGCTGGGAACACAAGACCCTTCACTTGCACAAGAACATCCTCAAGAAAGCCCTTAGGATGTCTCACAGTCCTATCAGCTAGACCTAGCACAACACTGGTGTCTTTCAAGGCATGAATACCCAAACTCTCATAGATAGAGGTAGGCATAACATTTATGGCTGCACCTAAGTCTAGTAAGGCATGTGAAATGTTTGTTTTGCCTATGGTACAGGGAATAGTGTAGGAACCCGGGTCTTTACACTTAATAGGCAGCTGTGGCTTGAAATAGCACTAACACTAGACCCCAGTTGGATTCTCTCACTATGCCTATACTTCCTCTTGTTTGTACATAGATCTTTTAGAAACTTAGCACACTTAGGCATCTTTTAATCAAATCAAGTAATGGCACATTAACCTCAAGTTTGCTAAACATTTCAAAAAGCTCATCATTATCTTTCTTTTCAACAACTTTCTTACTCATGAGATATGAATGAGGAAAAGGCAAGTCAGAAATATTTACCTCATCACCTTTGGAAGATGATCCTTTCTCTATTGGCTCTTTGGATTGAATGGAGGTCTCTTGAGTGGCCTTGGGAATGTCTTGAGTGGTTTTAGAAGGAGGAGACTCAACTTCTATCTCTTCATCAACTGGTTCTTCATCCTCTTCATCTTCTTTGAATTGCACTTTCTTAGCACCAATTTCCTTACCGCTTCTCAATGTAATTGCATTCAAAGATTTAGGATTTATCACCGTGTTGGAAGGCATTGAACCACTAGCCTTAGCTTGCTGTTCACTCACACCATTTGACAACTTAGTGACATAAGAAGTCAAATTAGAGGTTCTAGTTTCCCATTGCTCCATCCTATTCTCTAGGGCTAAAATTCTAGCTTCAGACTTAGATATGTGCTCAGTCATTGCCTCAATGCCCTTGAGTATTCGAGAGAACCGCTCATCATCCTTAGACTGTGATTGCTGTGGGGTAGACATGGCTCTAGAAGATTCTCCTTGTAACCCTCCATAGTAAGATTGTCCTTGAGGAACCATATTCCCTTGAAACCCTTCTTGAACCTGCCTATTGTCACCTCCTCCCCATCGGAAATTTGGATGAGCTTTCCATCCTTCATTATATGTGTTTGAGTATGGGTTCCATTGCTTAGATTGATTGGCCCTTCCTTGATACATGGCAGAAACTTCCTCATATCTATGAGGGCAAGCAGCAGAGATGTGCATAACAGAATTACAATGCTCACAACTAGGTGCAGTCATCTCCATGGAATTAGGATTCCGAGTGTCAGTAGGGGGAGTGTGAGATGCAAGCTTATTCAACTGTGCAGTCAAAGCAGCAATTTGAGAAGTGAATGTGTCCAATTGAGGAATGTGGACTGAAGAAGGATTAGCATGCACTGCATTGATATTTTTAGACTCCCTGATGCTATACTGTTGATGGTTCAATGCCATTTTCTTGATAAGTTCCCATGCCTCCTCAGCAGTTAAATCAATGAGAGAACCCCCAGAAGCAGCATCCAACATCCCCTTATCTTGGGTCTTAAGTCCATCATAAAAGTATTGGACTAACTGCTCATCTGGAATCTGATGGTGTGGACATCTAGAAAGCAAGTCCTGAAAACGGTTCCAGTAGTCATAAAGTGACTCATCATAATCTTGCTTTGCAGAGTAGATCTCTTTTCTCAATGTAGAAGTCCGGGAAGCAGGGAAATACTTCTCCAAGAATGCTTTTCTGAGGTTGTTCCAGT